ATAAATCATTTCATTTGCCAAATGTTCAAGAATAGATCTAGATGAAATAAAAAAAAATGAGAAGAATTATAAAATAAAGTAGAATTTTAAATGACTCACCTATTCGATTCAATTTTTATATTTCCATTATAATTCAACTTTGTGTCGTTTCTTGATTGCATTGTTTGTATCATGTCTAGAAAATAAATAAAAAAAGTTATTGACAATTATATGACGACGAAAAAGAAAACATGCGTAGAATAACATTAGACGATGGTTTATATATATCGTATCGAAGTTACACCAGTCAACAATTTTGACGAAGTTATAATTTCGTCGATGGCATTCATCGAAGTAACAACTTTGACAAAGAATTTGCTGATTATCCTAATTTAAGTGAACTTAAAATTTTCAATTTTAATGGTGAAATTGCTTCACGTTATTTTATAGGTAAATAACTTATGCTGATCTGGATAAAGATTTATATAAAAAATTGTAGTGTAGATAGACTAGATAATATCTATTTTTTTTTATTTAGTTGAATCACCATTTCGACATATTTTTCAACAACAAATTACAGATCTTACCCATGTAAAAAAAAAGGTATTTAACGAAATGATTCTTGAAATTAACACAAAAAACTGCGTTAAAAGATAAATTAACGAAATTTCACGAAGAAAATTTCATGAACTTTCGTTATATTCCGAAAACTCGTGTAAACGCGTTAGATTTTTCACGCTTTTTCATGCGTGATTGTCGTTTTAACTATAACTAACTCATTATATATCGTTAAACGTTGCATTCATTTTCACGCGTTAAGAAGTTTAACGATATTTCTTGAGCTTTTTTATTTTTAACCAATCTTATCATATTAAATATCGTTAAACTTGGTATTCAATTTCATGCGTTAAATATATTAACGCGTTTTCATGCATTTCTGTATTTTTCACGAAACTTAACTGATTGATTCTCGTTAAATCTAGTAACTGTTTTCACGAGTGAAATATTTTAACGAATTTTAATGAAAATCTTAATTGTTAACGAGCGTCATTTAATTATTCATCATTGAATCTACTAATTGTTTTCACGCGTACAATATTCATGATTTTTTGTGTAACATATTTGTTTATGCACATTACACAAAAATCATCTTGAAAGGCTTATATTTACGAAATATCAAGTGTGTCTGTGGACTATATCAATCCAGATATCAAAAGCTTTTTATCAGATTAGAGAGCACTCCTTTAGAGAAATCTCTACTCTGTATTAATCGCTAGCAAAACTACTTGAATTAATCCTAGACAAAGATAATCCTCTTTCAGTTTTTCTTTAAAATTTACTATGGGTTTTATATCAAAAGAATAGAATTCTATACTTCGTATATCATCACCATCATCATTTCTGCTCCACATGATAAAAAAAAGTTTAGCGAAATAATTGCTCCAGTTAAGGTCAAAAGTTGCCTTGAAAGGCAAATTGATGAAGTTTCACGAAGAAAATTTTCATGAATTTTTGTTAGATTTGGAAAATTCGTTTTAACGCGTTAGATTTTTCACGCGTGGTTGTCATTTTAATGGTAACTAACTCATTATGTATCGTTAAATGCTGCATTCGTTTTCACACCTGTGATATTTTAACTTTCTCACTCGAGCTACATGCCACCTATATAAGTGTGTATTGATATAAATTCCTCTTTTACGCTATTGGGTTGAGCTGAGTTGAGTTTTTCGCTTATAGAATCTAGATCTAATATGAAAACTATGACTGGTTCATCTCTGTTAAATACGTAAGCTGATAAACTAAGATAAGACGAAAGGGGTAATTAAATTATATTAATTAGCTCATGTAATCTGTCTTTCCTTAGTTCAAGTTAATGAATATATTACTTCTCAGAATTTTTCATACATTGTGATTCACCGCAAATATGATGAAATTTCTTCAATGATCAATATCTTGCTAAGTTTTACTCGTCTGAGGAGAAAAATCCAGCTAATCAATTCAATAGTGGATGTATTTTCTAATAAGATGCTTAAGATAACATTATTATCACTAAAAATATTTCGTAATTGATAGCGACACAAATCAAAGAGCACAATATTTTTTTTTTACTTTGTCGATATCCCAGATTTTAAACTAGTAAGTCTTTTCATTTCTGTCAACTATGGAATACATTTCTGGTACCTACAAGAATGCAAAATTGTAACAACTAAAGCCATAAATCGTTTCACTTTCGAGATACCGACAAAATAAAAAGAATATATTGTACTTCCTCGTTGGTTTTGCTATCTATTACGAAATATTTATAGTGATAACAATACTTTCTGAAGTATCTTATTAAAAAGTACATCCAATATTGAATTGATTACTTGGACTTTTCTCTTCAGACGAGTGAAACTAAGCAAGATACTGATTATTGAAGAAAGTTCATCATACTTGCAGTAAATAATAATGTATGAAAAATTCTGAGGGGTAACATATTAATCAGCTTTCATATTTAACGCGTTTTCGATAAATTCACGTGTGAAGAATCATTAAAAATGTGCTGATTTAACGAAAAAAAGATCGTTAGAATTTGAAAACGCGTTTAAACGCGTTAATTTTGCGGACGTTTAACGCGTTTTCATGATCAAAAGTGTAACATTTTTAATCGTTAAATTTTTAACGAATTTTCACGTCACAAAGTTTCGTTAAATTAGCAAAAATTTTTACATGGGTATTCTTGTATTTGAAAATAATTTTAATGAAATATCATGTAAACATTATACAACAGATGTATATGGCTATGTTTTGAAATTCTTCGAAAATCTAAAGCATTTATCTATTATAGGATCATTTCCTAAGTCTTTTCCACCTTTAATACTTCGTGATTTACCTTTAACTACTTGCTACTCTTCAACTATTTACAAATTATGTATTCATGTAATGTATTATGATGATGTTTTTGCTTTACTTGATGGTCGCCTCAATCAATTAAATACATTAAATGTTGTTATTATTAATGAGGAATGTAATTCAACGAATGTTTACAAAATGGTAAGCTTTGACTTTATTCGATTAATCTTTTCAGTTTAACAAACAAAATACTATTGATCATGATAATAAATTGTTTTTATATTATTATTGATAGATTCTTTTGTTAATTAATTACCGTTTATTTGAATGACTATAACTAAATAATTGTAAAACAAATGTTCGTCTAGTTGAAAGAAAGAAATTAAATAATTGAGTTTCATTGAAATAAACAACAATGATATGTTTGAAGAGTAAGATTGAAAATATTTATCCTCATATAGTTAAAAGATATATGTAGTTGTTTGACAAAATGACAAAAGATCAAATTTATTTTAATCTTACTTTTCCTTGAGCAGCTGAAAAAAATTCTTGCTTTTTTGTTATTGTTTTTAGTCATTTTCGTTATTGTATAATAGAGGAAAAAACGAATAAGACGAGTATTGAAAGGACAAAAAGGGCCAAAGACAATAAACAAAATTAAAAATCATGTGAATAATAAATGACAAGAAACAAAGATTATTAAATATAGAAAAGTTTGATCGAAGTAACTTTCATTTGTTGTAAATTGATGAGTTGTTCGATGAAGATTTTAATGATTTATATATTGGAAATAGTCACGTTTATCAGATGATATAACTTGTTTCCTATATAAATAATATTTTTCTCATATATATATATATAACTATAATGAATAATATTCACCTAAAATTTTCGAATTATTTCAGTATTTATTATTTATTATATGCTGGATATTTAGAAATACAATATAATTATTTTAGTCATCATTGTAGAATATATATATTATAGAATTGAAGAAATATTTTTAAATGAATAAAAACCTAATAGAGCTATTTTTCAATCAATTATTTCATGAAAACCTTTTCTTATTTTAATCGATTGCTAATACATTTATAAATATTGATTTATACTTTCTAGAATAATCTACCTGATTTGAAATGTTTTTATTTACAATATGATTGTTTAAGTGATATATATGATAGTCAAATTTTACCTCTTTTACGTCGTATGTCAAATATTGAATCATTAAATTTATATCTTACTATTGATAATCAAACTACATTTATTGATGGTGAACACATTTATAATGAAATTATTGTTCATATGTCACAACTTCAAACACTTAACTTTTGTTTTTGTACCTTTATTCAATTCGATTATTTAGTTCATCATTTATTTAAAGATGATATTCTACAAACTTTTTCTAACATTATGTGTCAACAAGTGGATTGTATGATCAACTATCGGCGTTATGATGTCAAATATCATGTATTTTCATTAACATTCATGTTTGATTATCTTCCACTTATTGATAATATATTTCCAAATATTATTTTCAATCATGTTATAAGGTTGATGGTGAATGATGAAATTCCATTCGAACATGAATTTTTCATGCGAATTGCTTAGTCTTTTCCTTTACTTAAAGAATTACATGTTTTTAATCTTATGTCACAGTCATCAATATCAAACAAATTAAACTCTAATGATAATCAATTACATTCAACAATTACTGAATATCCTTATCTTACTTTGCTTAATCTTGGATTTGTTCATCATGATTATATCGATCAATTTCTTAATGATAAAAAGCACATCTACCTCGCCTAACCAAATTAATAGTCAATTACTATAAATTAATAACTGTCACGAAAAATTTTACAAACGATAGAACACGAGTCAATTGTATGAAAGTGAAACAATTAAATATAAATTCTAAAATAAGTATGCATTCAGAAGATTTCTATGTTTATTTTCCTTCGTTGTAACTTTATTTTTGTTTCGATTAACTTAATAAAATGAATAATGAAAACCTATGAATAATAGTTTTGCAATCAAATCATATTAAGCAACAATTGTTAATTATATATGATGATTAACTCGAGAGTTTATTGTTTTCTAGACAATTTAGGTATATAAAAACAACAGAACTTTTCTAATTCGATTTTTTTGCACATTAATTATTTTTATTAAGGAGTAAATTTCAAGGATTTTACTAGTATTTATTAATTATATAAGTACTGCACAAATTTCCATCTTTTTTGAAAGTTTAATAGTATATGAATGGGAAAAGTAGACTTTCTAAGGAAAATAGTTCGTATTCGACCACAAGATTTGTTCTTATTTCGTTTATCGAAATTCATTCATAAGAAAATCGAACATTATACATACATCAATCGAGCAGAAATCGATATGACTGATCGTCAATATATTATAAATATGTAATATGTTATTCACGACTAATTGTCATTTCCATCATTGAAAAATCTGACTAAATCGGAATTCATACAAGCTAAAATAATTGGAGAAATTGAAAGAATCGAAGGATATCTCTTTTTGAGATTTTATGATCTTTATTGTTTGATGATTAATTATGAATATTGTACATTTATAGTTTACACTTGGTCCAAAAAATGCCTTGGTCACTATCATATAATTGAAGATGTTCACATTCATTTGTAATGTATTATAGTAAAAACGTGTTGTACTTTCTATTGATTTCAATGGAAATAAAATCAAAAGTATCGAATATTTATTAATTAAAATGAACAAAAGTCTATCTTTTCCTATTCATATACTAATAAACTTTTAGAAAACGTCGAAACTCATGTAACACTTATATCATAGATAGATAAATACCATTAGAATTCTGTAAACTCACTGCTTGAAAAAAATAGTTCGTGCACAAAAAACAAAAACTGAAATAGAAAACATGATCAATCTTATTAACTGATATGCCAAACCCTTCCATTGTAAGGATAATATTAGTAATAAATTTTTAAGAACTATTTGGGAGTAGTATTAGTAACCTTTAAAAGGCTATCATGAGATAACCCTTGGTAACTTTCTGATGGCTATCTAGAATTAGTATCAATAACTTTTTGGAGATTATTTGAGGGTACTATTAGTAAATTTTTGAAGGCTATCTCGAGATAGTACTAGTATCAAAATTTTTAAAGAAGGCAACTGAGAAAAGAAAAAAACGTTATAACTTTTGAACGAAAAGTCACAGCGACCTGCAGTTTTCACCATTCAATAGAGGAGAATGTAGAATAGCAGTGTTTTTGTATTTGTAAATTTTTTGATTCAATTAATTTTGTAAATAAGAAATAGAGGTTCTTTTGTGATAATAGATCGATGAAAAATAGAAAGAAAATATGATCAAATAAATTGTAAGAGAAAAGCACTTTCTTTTTTTCGAGAACTCGAAAATGAGCATTTTTTATATGCTTGTGCTCGACACTGTCCTCTATTGAATAGTGAAAACCTCAGATTACTACGACTTTTTGTTCAAAAGTTATAAGGTTCTTTTGTTTTTTTTTCAACTGTCTTCTTTAAAAATTCTGATGCTAATTAGTTCAACTTGCCAATGCAAATTGTCCTGACGGCAAACTATGGCCTAATTATAGGCTCCAGTCAATGTTGACCATCTCTATAACAAAGTGACGCTTGTTCATTCAACGTGTATTTAAATCTAACCGAAGAATGATCGTTTTATTTTGTGCTAAATTATCATAACTACTCAGTTCGATCCGCCATATTAGAATAGAAGAAAGTAAACATAAAACAAGCAAGTTTTGAGAATCTTCATCATCTTATTAAGTAAATTATGGATAATCAACCATTTATGATATCACTCATTCAATAGAACAACATTCAATTGGCGTGTAGTTTTAACTAAAAAAAATCTATGTGGAAACACAAAGAAAGATAAGAACATCTAATCTATGCTATTTATTTCTTAACAAGAAATTGCTGATATCTATGTATAATAATGACT